CACACACACACACACACACACACACACACACACACACACACACACACGAGGCGATATTTATATTTAAATTTCTGAGAAAAAAGAAAAATATTAAAGATATTTAATTCCTTGTTTTTTTTTCTAATTCGATATCAAATTTGTTTTCGATGACGAGGAACAGATATAAGTTAACGATTGTAAAAATATATAAGGAGAAACTTGTTAGAGAGTTAGGAAGCTTCGACGATTGTGATTTTTTAATTCTGAAACTTAACTCTTCTCAAATCTTACGCGGAATCACACGTCCATCGGCGTCGGAGAATCCGAAGCGACTACTTTCGTTGGATATCTCTTGCGTTCCTCCGTGCAATAACACATTGTATACGCAAGCGTTTACGTGCGCACGTGTGTTCTTGTTTGAACAAGAACGCACATTTTCATAAATATTCTTTCGTCATCGCGGCTCGACGATGTTCGACAACGGTCGTGGATCCCACGGGTCAAATATTGACTCAATGCGCGGGTGTTAGCTCAGTCTCCTATTACCAACGTCCCACGAGCAACGAGTACTATCTCTCTTTTCCTTTTCACAGATAATTAATTCGTTAATTAGGTAACCAATTATTGCCGACTTAACACGACGCTCTGAAAATCGCGCACACCCTTTGTTCGGTAAATGAAGAAATTTTTATCCCGATATAAGTGAAGTGACTCCTGTTATCTTCCTTGGTCTGAGATTTCTCGGTTCGACTAATCCTCAAATATTTTTCTCACTTTTGAAATACGAGAAAATGATTATGTATAAAATGAATCACGCGCTTCGAGCACATCACAACCATCAGGAAAGATCCAATACTTACATCGGAATGCGTTGAAATTAACAAATGCATTCGCAATGTTAGATAGATAAGAGTGTGCATTTAAATAGAGACAACCGTCTATTGCATTAATTTTCTTACCTGCGCAACGTATATCGGCCACGCGTAAATCACCTTGCAAACAGTGTCCACGAAACTCGCATTATTCTCTCCAGTTATCGATATGTGCAACACTCTTTATTCCTTTGGTTTATTCCTCGACGCCGTTATGCTGATCACATAAATAATTTTCTCTAATTTTGTTCTATTGAATAACTTTTCGCTTTTTCAACCGCTGATAAATTATAGATAGATATTCCGAGTTGTCCGATACGTATGCGCATATACACGATCGAATACGCTCTGATCGGCGTAGAAATTCCCGTTTCCGTAACATGCGGAGACCTGATAGTGAGATAAACCTTGATAAGATTAACGCCTTTCTGGGAATCATTGTCCACATAATAAATAAAACCACTGTTGATCTCGCAGAAGTGTACGTGTATCCGGTATCGAAAAGTATTCGTATTTGCAAGTAAAGTTTACTGTTATTCGATATAATATCGTAAATGTACGCATATGTTACATCAGTCCGTTTATTTAAAGGTACACATGCAGTGTTGGCTTCAATAATTTATTTGTTCTAAGATTCCTTTAATAATTTATTTGCGTCGATAAGTTTTTCTATGTACAATGTAACGTGAAGGTATGAAAACGCATCGGAGATCTTTTATGAGGTCTTTTATGGAGGTCAATTTGTTATAACCTGCAAAAGAAAGAACGAGAAATAACATTAGAATATTTACTAAACTTGGTACTCCTGTGCGAAATTAACGGCCACTTTACACCTCATTTATAGCGCGTTGAAACTAACTTGCAAAAATAGAAGCTTGGCCTCAGTTCATGTTGGAAAACAATTTGTTTGCAAAAGCGCCGTACTGAATGAATTGGAGACAAGGGAGATTTCTCTAAATTTGAGCAAATAAAATTCTCAAATCATTTCACTTCACTATTATTAATCTAATGTGTGTGTTATACATGTGTATTATACATATTTTTCATACAATAACGATATTTTTTACTGTGTAAAAAGATATTGTTAAGTAGTTATGTATAGTAACAGTTATAAATCTCGATCTCAATCAACAAAATTTTAAATTATCGCATTATTCAATTATAACATTTAATATATAAATCATATAAAATATTGTTCTTATTATATATTTTAAATTATAAAATTTAATGTATGCAGTGATAAAATATCATAAATTAGTAACAGTATTAAGTCTAATTTGATCAATTTAAATTACCTTATAGTTATCTAATCTCTTATTGAATTTAATAATTATCTATTTCTAGAATTCCATTATAAGTTCCTGCTTAAAATACTTTTACGCAATGTAGAGCCTATATATATTTATTATACATATATATACATATATATACATATATATATATATATATAATAAAAATATATATTTAAATATATTATATACATATACTAAAAAATATGTATATATGTATATGTATATTAAAACTATAAAATTCTATAGAGAAGACACCAGTATCAACAGAAGTAAATGAAACTCTTAATGAATGAACATTTGTACATTTTAATTTCACGTTGCATTACCTAAATTCAGTTAGACAGCATTTTGTAAATTATATCTTTCTGTACAATTTTAATTCAAATCTTAACATTTTAAATAATATACATGTTTTTAATATGTGCTCTTATCGCGGTACCTTTTAGATATATAAATGTAGCTTGTAAATTTGTAAAATCCAACTTTTTAAACATTATAACAATACTGTGTGTCTATGTGACTAACTGCTGCAGCAGTAGTAGCAATGAAATATACGGCAAAAATATTTGAAATAATTGTAATTTAGCTAAACCTTTTGCTAAAATATGTACACACTCTTACGCCGCATGTTTCCATCTATTCACACGATGCAACGGTAAGCCTCCGTTATTCCAAGCACAGTACATCACTGCAACTCCTGCCGCGACAGCACCGGCGATACCAGCTTTCCTGATCCCGGCTAAAATAAAAATCAATACACGTCATACTTTATTCTAATAAATTCAATAACATGTACATGCATAGGATCAACGCTTCGTACCAGGCGATCTAAATATCGTAGCGCTCGTGGCAGCTGCAGCTACTGTATTCAAACTGTCGTCGGTTCCTCTTAACCAAGTCAGACCTATTCCAGCGCAGGTATACATTATCATTATCACACCGAGCGAATTTGCCATACTGGCACCACCCTTCATAACATAATTGATCAATCTAGAAGGAAAAAATACAACACGATGTACAATTTTTTAAGTCATCAAAAGATAGGAATGCAAAAGACGAAGACGCACTGTGTTCTCCTGAGTTTGCCTGTCTCGCCAGCGATAGACGTTGCCTTGATGCCTCTGTACAAACCCGACGCGCCGCCGATCCCTGCCCCCGCTATGCACGCAGCTCCAATTTGACTGAAAGCTAACTCGAAGCGGCCCCTCTGCTTCACGGCGCCGTCGGGAAATATAAATTCCGGTTGACTGACGGGAAGGTATGATGGGTCAAAATTCAAATATGGGCTGAGCGAAGCCAAACCCTGTTGCGAGGTGACTAAAAAAAATAAAATTAAAAGTGTCTTAACGTATAAGCAACGTAAAATGTGAACTTATTTATCCTTCATAACACGTCTGTATCTCATCAACTGCAATTATTATTTAAACTGCTCTCGCACGCATCTTTTATGTAACGAGAAAGATTATTTTTACTTTTCTGAAACAGGTGCCGGCCTTCATTCTTCATCGACTTACATTGACGCAATATATACCTTCCCGACAGTCTTATAATTATAATTGTCATTGATATTTAAAAAAAGAAACTATGACTGTAGATTCGTAGGCAACAATGAGGTTAGAAACGCACCTCGTTGTGGGTTCAAATAATTAAATGAGCGAATAATCATCCGCGATACAATTTTAGGCGATACACAATTATATTGTAGTCGACGCCCCGCTTATCAATGTCCAAAGAAACTTTCTGTTATTCACGAAGAAAAGAAAAAGGTCGACAGAACTGCGCGATGAAAAAAAGTTTGGAACGGCTCCAAAAATATCCGAGCGGTACTTCGAGACCCTTTTACTTACCCGGTATATTGGTGTTGCTGTATCCCCCATTGTCGGCGTCGGCACTCCCCGAATTCATGCGAAAGTCTATCATTTTGTCAAGACAATTTGAAAACTGTGGCCTCCTCGTCGGAACACGAGACTCGGACGACCGCGCGGAACAGCACGCAGCATCGGAGGCGGGGGCTGAATATGCCGCAGAACGCCGGGTCGGAAATGACGTAATCGTCCGTGGATGTGTTATTAGACTGGTCTGTTCTTCGTCATTTTCTCAAGAGTCCTTGTTTTCTTGCGGCCAATCAAACTTCGGCCATTCGACAAATGAGGACGAGACGGTCGGAAGTGGAGGACAAACGAACACATTTGCGTTCCAAAATCTAGCCGACAAGGCTGAAAATCTATAGTTCACGTTACGTATGCTATAGATTTTCAGTGGGAAGTAGGATTTCAGGATATTTTGGAACGCACCGTAGCGCATCCCTTCCACACGTGCTTCGTGCTGCGTATGCATTTGGCGCGTTTTATCTCGAGTACCTTCGAACCTTCGGGAGTCGTCTCTCGCGCACGTAAAATCGTTATTCCACTTCTCGCGCGTGTGTCGTCACCTCAACGTCCGATTAGACGTAAAACGAACGTCGATTCTAGTTGCAGGAACGGGGAATCGCGTCACGAGGCCATTTCGAAGGATATCGGGCGCGGCTGAACTGCGCCGCTCGATTAGGGAAGGCAACCGCCGACCAACATGTCCAAAATACGGCGATTGTCGGTTCGCGGCATACGTAATTTCGGCGACGATAACGATGACGCGTTGATACGCTTCTCCTGCCCGTTGACTCTTATCCTGGGCCCAAACGGCACGGGGAAGACGACCATCATAGAGGCACTCAAGTATGCTATGACCAGCGAGTTTCCACCGGGCTCGGAAAAAGGGAAGTCCTTCATACATGATCCCATGCTGACGACGACCGGCTCGGTACAACTGCAATTATACAATGATTTGTCTACTCTCTCGGTTGCATTATGATTGCGATATTACTATATATACTAAGGGCCGGTTGTTCCAACCTGTTGATAAACTACCTTAGTTAAATCATATATATGTCTTTGTTTATCCATTACATTAGACAAAGATAGACATATGATTTAACTATTAGGACTCAGTCACAATGAGAAAAATAAGGAATAAGATAAAGGAATAAGGAATAAAGGAATGTCGCATCTTACTTCAGTACACGTACATTAAAGTGAGATGCAACATGCCTTATTCCTTATTCCTTTATCTTATTCCTTATTTTTCTCATTGTGACTGAGCCCTTAGTTATAGCTGACCAACAAGTTGAAACAACCGGCCCTAAGTGATATATTCAAAATTTTATATATATATCATACAAAATAATATATACAATATACAAATAATAATGATAATATACAATATACAGATAATATACAAATGATAATTATACAAAAATTGAAGCTCTTCAGATATACAATCAAAGTAAATATAAGAAACAAGTAAGAACCAAGTCGGTAGTTAAGCAAAAGTTATATTACACAGTAAGATAAATCACTTAAAATTATAATTACAAACATTTTAGTCTTAAAGTTTAGACTGTCTTCAGTGTGTACAAAATTATGAATGCAGTTATTCTACTCTAGCATTATAACTGAAGAGAGTCTAAACTTTATGCTCGAAACATTTGTAATTGTTATTTTAAAAGATTTACCTTACTATATAATATAACTTTTGTTTCACGTTTGGCATTGGATCTTACTTACCTCTTATATTTACTTTATCCTTTGCATATAATGTTAGATAATCAAATAATTTGGATATATAAGAATTTAGATTGGAACCATTATTGCTCTTTTAGAATACATATTAAATCTTCAATTATTCAGCTTGAGTGAGCCTTCTATCTTTTGTGATTTTTTACTTTTGTGATCATTAAGTATTTCTTATTATTTAAATATTCTAAAGGGTGTTAGGAATAAAGACAGATTTATTGTCGTAGGTGAGAGGCATGGTTAAGGCTGAAATAGTCGATTCTGAAGGTAAAAGCTATATAGTAGCCAGAACAATTGAGTTGTCGAAAGGAGGGAAAAGGAATAATTTTAAAACTCTCGACAGTACTTTGACTACAATAAGCAGAGATAAGAAAAAGGTGAATGGCCTGCTTTGGAATATTTACTATCTACTAGTTTTGTAGATTGTTTTATTTGAATTCTTTTATTTCAATTATTTTATTTGCCCATCAGAAAGCCTCGATAACCAGTCGATGTGCTAACGTTGATGAGGAAATTGGTGTGGCGTTGGGCGTTTCAAAATCGATTTTGAATTATGTCATATTTTGCCACCAAGACGAGCTTAATTGGCCATTTGACTCGGGGCAAACGTTAAAGCAGAGATTTGATGATATATTTAACAGTACTAGATATAGCAAAGCCTTGGATACTATTTTAAAGCTTCAAAAAGAGTTACAAAGCGATATTCGAAGTCTAACGGCAGAGAAAAAGACTTTCAAAGTATTAGTAGCCGAAGTAGAGGATAAAGAGAATAAACTCAAGGATCAAAAGAAAAGGTTGGACACCGCAAAGGAGAAAATAAGCGATATTGATAAACAACTCGACCCCGTGAAACAAAAGCTTGAAGAAGTGCAGCAATTTCATTCGGAATATAAGAATGTCCAGAGTGAGGAAGGTAAGTTAAACAAAAATTCGTTAATATACAGATAAAGAGACAAAACCGTTCTTTTTTTTTTCTCCAGAGAAAAAGAAGATGGAATACAATATGCATAAGGATCGATATGACAAACTGAAGGAAACCATAAAAAACATCTTTGATGGGACGACAGAGGAATTGAAGGAGCTCGTGGAATCATATGACTCTACACTGAAGGAAAAAAACTTCGAAATTACAGAGGTATAAATAAATTCTATGACTACTAGAGCATCTTTGTACATATAAATAGATACTATGGCTATTAGTATTTTCGTATATATTACATATTGGTTTATTGCTTCCAGAATGAAGCCGAGGTCAAAGGTATCTCCGAGAAGGGAAATAGGATCTCGAATATTTTAGCGACACGAAGGGAAACGGTAGGCACATTGAAACAACAAGTAAAAGATCATGAAAAAAGAATGGTTCGTCGCAATCAATTGCTAAATGACGCACTGAAAGCTTGGAATTTTGATGCGGTGGAATCAGATGTATCTGAAATAGGTATTTATAAACTCAATTTCAAGTAATTTGTCGAAATTGAATTGCTTCATTCTTTTTCTCTCTGTATTGCTAAATCATGCAAAAATATTTTTGTGCAGAGGTGAAGGCTCGTACAAAAAGATTGGAAGAAAAGATGCGGACATTAGAGAAACAGGTAGAGGAAAATAGATTGACCATGCAAAGAGAGGAAAAAGAATTACAGAAGGAAGTTGATAAGCTGCGTAGCAATTATTCGAAGATCGAATCGGAGAAAGTTCTTAAAGAAAACGAAGTAACAGAGATAAGAGACGAAATAGACGCAATTCGAAAGCAGATAACACAGGTTAATAATATCTCATTAAGAATTCTTATAATTGAAATATTTAGTTTCTAAAGAAGTAATTTATATCGATTTTTTTACTTTAGATTGGTGCAGCGGGAAATAAGTTAAAGTCCCTCGAACAAAAACTTCAAACGGCAAAGCAACGAATTGACGAACTTAGCAACGCACTGGATGTAAATTCCGTTAAAGCTGATATTGGAGACAAGATAAAATCCAGGGATAAGATTGAAGCAAGTTTAAGCGCGATCGACGACGAAATTTCTTCTTTGCATAAATTAAGCTCGTTAACGGCGGAATTTGAATTAAAAAAGTCGGCATTACAAGCTAAGGAAGACGAGCTGGAGAATTTGAAGAAAAAGCACGGAGATAGCATTAAAGTATTGTTAAACATTCAAGAATTAGAAGAAACGAAATTGAAAGATACTTTGGAACGTGTTCATCAGAAATTGGTATGTGATTCATTTTTCACTTATGTATGTTGTGTGTTTGTGAAATCTTACTGTGATCGTAAATTTCAGGAAAAAGAAACAAATTCGTTAACGCGAGAGATTCAAGCGCAAGAACGTAAAACTACTGCTCTTGAGACAACAGTACGGCATATAGAATCCGACATTAAGAAAAAGACGATAGAACTGCGCAGTAAGAAATTCTATATATATACTTTTTATAATCGTAATAAATTATAAAATTTTTCTAATTAATTGTAACATAAAATTTTGTTCTTTTTTAGATGATAAAGAGAAGATATCTACAGTGTGCGATTATAAAGATTTCGATGAGACTTTGTTACTGCAATCTACTAAAGTAAAGGATCTTCAGGACAAGAGAGGAATCTATGCTTATCAAGCTACAGCCTACAAGGAATATGTCAAAAGATTATCCGTTAAGGATCCTTGTTGCCCTTTGTGTCATAGAAATTTTGAGGAGCAAAATAAAGTTGCAGATTTAATAAAGGAAATCGAAAGCGACATAATACGTAATCAACCTGATCGTTTAAAGTTGTGTGAGCGGGAACTAGCGACAGAACAGGAAAAATATGATAATATGTTGCAACTGAAACCTATTGTTGAAAAAGTTATTCAATGTGAAGAAAATGACTTGAAAGTATTAGAGTGAGCGAGCTTAATTGTATATTATATTAATCAAACTTGAGACTTGAAAGTTATAAAGTTTAATATACTTTTCGTTCATTTAGGGAAAAGTTGAAGAAGATGAAGAACGGCGTGGCGCAGTCGAAAATGGCCGTTAAGGATCTAGAAGCGTCGAAGGCAGAGCCTGAGAAGAAGTTGTTACTGTATAAAAATATGATCGGTGATATTAAATTCTGGGATCGGTGCATAGATGAAATACAGCAATCGAAGAGAGTAGTCAGAAACTTGGAAATTCAAATGGCCAATGCTGGTAATGTTGTTTTGATATTTCAATAATTTACGATTATCAATTGATGTTTCTTTCTATATATAGGAGTTAAGACCGAAAGGACTATAGAAGAAGCGCAGGCACAGCGAGAGTCTTTGAAAACGTCTCTTAAAGAAATTCGTAATAATATTGATGCATTGCAAATCAAATTGAGCAAGCATACCGAGAGATTGCAGGACGCTAGAGCGACGTATAATGGTCTACACGAGGAGCAATTAAAAATACATTCTGATATGCAGAAATTGAAACATTTGAAGGATAAGCAGGATGACTTGTACGCGCGAGAAATTACCGTAGGAGAAACGGTGGAGAAACTACGGAAGGATTTGGCACATGCTGAGACTCAATTGGATTCCAGAAGTCGGCAGTTGGAAAAGACCAAGGTATTCATAGTCGGTTGGTGCATTAAAGACCGTCTTAAGTACAATCTTGAGATGTCATAAACCAATCAGAGTCGTATTAGCATCTTAAGATATTACTTAAGACGATCTAGAAATAAAATCTGACTTATAAATACCGGCCCAAGTTTTAATTTTCATAATATCTACGAATGGGATAATTGTTAATAAAATAAATTAAGAATATCGTACGCGAGCATTTGGAACGTAAAAGGTTGAGATTTTTTTTTTTTACAGACTGAGAATTGGCAAAAGCAAGAAGCCGATAGAAAATCAGTGTCCGAAAATGCCAAACGTTTGTCTGATTTGGATAAAATATCGGACGAGGTCAATTCTTTTGTCAATAGCAATGTACTCGAAAAACTCGCAAACTACGAGCGCGAGATAGAGACTTACAAGAACTCGCTAACGGAACTTATGGACAAGAAAAACGACGTAGAGCAAACGATAAGCAAGTTGAAGGAAGACATTGCCTCTCAAGAAATTAAAAAGCGAGAGTTACTTGACAATATGACGCTACGTAAAATTAAGGAAACCCTAGAAACCTTGAGAGAGCAATACAGAAAATTGAACGAAAAACTGAAAAATATGGATTATAAGGAAATGATGAAGAAATGGGAGCAATTGGAAAACGAGAAGCAAACGTTACTTCGACAAGTAAGTAACGTGTTACAACTTATTTTTAAGATTTATACATTTATATTAATTAACGATTTGCTCAATCGCATTTTTAGAGGAATGTAGCGGTGGGAAATCAGGAAGAGTTGGAGAGAGTAATCAAACAGTACACGCATGAATTACGAAAAGAGGAATACCGATCAGCTCGTCAGAATTATACTAAAAAGTGCATTGAATTAACAGTAAGTATTATTTTATATGCGAAATATAATATACGTTATAATATCTTTCATATCGGCTTGTTACAGTGATTGAAAATCCTAATTGTGATTTTGAATATTAAATCTGCCTTGCATAATTTCTTTTACTAGGTTCAAGAAGATACTATAACTAATCTGAAAGCTTACAACAAAATATTGGATACCGCGATGATCGAATACCACGAGGAGCGTATGTCGACGGTCAATACGATAATGAGAAAGCTGTGGAAGCACGTTTACAAGGGCACGGATACAAGCAGCATAGAGATCTGCACGGAACCTACAGAACAAGGAGCCAACAAAAGGAACTACAACTACAAATTGATTCAAACTAAACACGGATGTAAAATGGATATGAGAGGACGTTGCAGTGCTGGACAGAAGGTAATTAGAATTCGGGCAATTAGCACACACATGATCAGTGAAATGCACACACATTACAATTAATATCCGAATTTTTCACAGGTATTGGCGTCGATAATTATAAGACTCGCTTTGGCAGAAACGTTCTGCAAGAATTGCGGCATTCTCGCGTTAGATGAACCAACGACAAATCTGGATGAAGAAAACGCGAACAGTTTAGCGGATACGTTAACTAAGTACGTATGCATTTTTGTTAGGGACAATTGATTAAAATAATTGAATAACTATAAATGACGTAATGTAACGCATATGTGTTGCAGAGTGGTCGAGTTGCGAGCAAAACATCAGAAGAATTTCCAGTTGATTATAATCAGCCACGATGAAAAGTTCCTACAGAAGCTTGCCAATTTGAATAATTACAAGCAATTCCATGAGCTTTATCGTAAACACAAGTACGTAATATGAGAACACGTGTTTTTTTTGTTTGTAAGAAATCAAACTGTTAGAAATAAAGAGCTGAACTCTTTTTCGTAGTGGGATGACCGCGATAAAGCTCTCTGCCTTCAACGAGCCTATGAGTTCTCTATTGCACATTAAGGATGAAGATGAATCTGACGATGAAGAGCGAGTTAATGAGGTTCAAGAGTCGACCAGTGGTACATCTAGAGATACATCGAGTAAAAAGAGATACAATCTGGATGACAACGAAGATAGTAGACCGCCCGCTAAAAAGAAGTATTGCTTCACCTAGTAATTTAAAATACACGTTCCGTTTTTTATACCAAACATATATTTCGTTTATATAACATATACATATATATATATATACATTATATGTATTTTTTTATATAATATATATTTTATTTTTTATATGATAATGTTCCTGTAATTGATACAGTATATTCGTAACATGGTAGTGTGTATTGTGAAAGAAATAACCAAACAAAAGTTATATGTGCTAAAAATACCTCAAGTAATATGATAAGAACATGAAAATTATTTTATAATTACTCCGAAGGAGATGTAGTGTTGGTTATTAAATAAATTTAATTTTCAAATGATATTGAATTGTATGTTATTATAAGTCTCGTGTTCTTCAAAAATATTGATGTTTTAAATTAATATTAATATTTAAATATAGTTATAGTGCAATTATACGACTATTATACAAAGAAATTGCACAAGAAAGATTTCTCAAGGAAATTAATATAATGAGCCGAGATAAAGAAAGAAAATATTTGGATTTTAAATTTGGAGTAACATTTGGCATGCTCGAGAAGTGTTGACTTTTTGCATCTGATTACAATAGAATTCGACATTTTCTTGCGTCTCAATTGAATCATTAAAAGAAGAACCGTAGATTTTTTCTAATTGACGTGATGATTCATATCACAAACGTGACATTTAATATTTTCACAAGATTTTAAAAAAATTTTTATACAATTTATTTTTATACCAAATTGCCGTGAATGTAAATAATACTATCGGAGCTTTACAATTAGAATATATCTCGAAGGGGGTATCGTCAGGGACGTTAAAAAGCGCCGAGTTTCCAACTTGGGACCGCCAATTGAAGCGGGAGAATCGGTCGAACGCGGTGTAACGAGAATCAATCGGGAAGTCGGCCGCGGGCGGGCATTCCAGTATTGTCTCTCTCTCCGGCGAGAGTCTCGATGACCGCTATAGTTAACGAGTTATCGCGAATCGAGTGCCTGGGGGAGGGAGCCGGCATCGTAATGGGCTGCTGCTGCCGCTGCTGGCTGCTGCTGCTGCTACTGCTCGGGTAGTCGTAACGTCATAATAGAATAGCGATGTTAGTAATACCATCGCGCGATACCGCCGCGACTGGAGGCAACCGACCGGGCGATTGACTGGCCCGGCGCGGCATACCGAGTCTAACCAATTTGCATCGCATTGTGTACTCGTTACGGCCTCCATCTGCGCCCGCGCTCGCGCGCATACATCGCCGAGGCCGAGGCCGAGGCGACGGCGACGGGGAGGCCTTTGGACCTCCTTTCCTTTCATTAACGTTCCCTACTTTTCTTTTCTTCTCTCTTAACGGACATTTACATTTTTAATTATTATCATCTCGTTACTTTAATATTTTTCCACATTACGTATTTTTCTTCTTAAATATAACTTCCAGAAAATTATGAAACAAATGTATTTCTTTAAATTTAAAATGTTAATTTTTTAAAAAGGATTGTCTGGAAATTGCTCCAAGAATTAAACGGAGAGAGGAGAAGGTTGGGGCGGGTTCGTTACGTAAAATAAAAATTGACCTCAGACTGATTCGATTGGGGTTGGGATGTCCTGTATTTAAATTAGCGCATCGGGGGTTTGCATTTCGGCGGGCGGCAGCGCGGTAGCGATTGCCGGGCGAGAGACGTCGTTTGCCGTCGCGCTGAATGCCTGAATGCATTCGCATGCATCCCGACTCCCGACGGCGAAACCGAGCGCCGCACCAGTACCAGCAATCAGCGCCCTGGGAGAGCCGTGGAAACCGCGGAAACCCCCAACTCTATTATCGTTTCTGGCATCGTTATCGTTATTAGCCGCTCCATCGCCCGGCCATCCTATACACCGGTGAGAGCGAAACTACCCCCGATGCGTTTTCGTTATGGATCTCGAGGCTCACGAATTAAGATACATAGTCGATATAATTTAATATATTATTTAGTATATTGTTTTATATAACTCTATTAAATATAATATAAATATAATACTATACACATAAATTTAATATAGAGTTATATACATATAAAACTCTATATTAATAAGTCTAATACCGAAAAAAATTAAGACGAAATGTTCAGCAGCTCTTTACGCGTTTCTTTCATCTCGCCCAGTCAGTTCTATTCATCTAGCATCCCTCATGATTTTCTTCAATATTATACTTCAATGAAAACAAAATGTTTGGCAGGACTTTATTGCGTTTCTTTCATCTTGCTCAAATTCCACTGATCCAACATCCCTAATGATTTTCTTTAATGCTATAATAAGTTCGGATATTGTCATGATATCAATCATAATGATTTTATAACTATTTCCATCTTATTTTCGTTCTTCTTTCGCAAATTGTTTCATTGTTTTTTCCGCGAGAAACAACGAAACATTCCGACCTCGCAACAATGCTCGTAATATGATTACACTAAAAGGTTTAATAATATTGTGATTGATATTGTTGCGCTTATCGATACGCCGGCGCCGCGCCGCCCGTGTGATTCGCGGCCGGGCTATCTCGAGCAATTGAAGCGCAGAAATGTAACGAGAGGACGGATCTCTCCCCTGGCCTTCATCTCCGATCCGCTTTGATCCCTTTCTCACTCCGATCCCTCGGCGAGGAGAGGAAAGGCAGGCGGGGAATTTCCGTCCGCGCCCCCTCTTCAAAATATCAACTAAACGATAACCGTATTTATTATTCATTCGGCCGCCTCTCGTTCCTTTCCCTTCTCGTGCCGCGTCCCCAATTTTACGAAGTAGTTTTTCAAAGAATTCCGCGGAGCCGGTCTGCATCGCCCATGAGACAGCAAGGGGCGGGCGTGCATAGGGCGCGGAAAGTGCTTGGATCGGCGATAGAAGGGCCCTCAAACTCCGCGAGATTATCATATCCGATACGATATCTTTAAGAAAAAGTGACGAGGACAATCATTCGTGTGTAAAATGCGCTACAAAAAACGGTGATTATAAAGTTTGAACCCATTCTCGGCGAATAAGAAGTCCTTATCGAAAAGACCACTAATAAAAAACGAATTAGGAACTTTGACGCGGGTTACATTTTCCGAGACGCGTTTGCACGTTACAAAAAATAATAATAATGTAGATCTATCCCGATCGGAGTTGGGGAAGTATTGTACGCGAGCAGCGTGTTCGTCGGCGAAAAAAAATAAAAAAAAGAAGAACGTAGTGTAATCGAGGCGAGAGTCGAAGTGTACGCGATTTCGGCGGAAAATCGAGCCTGAAATAATCCCCGGACAGACAACGAGGAGAAGAAAGACGTGATCGAGTTATCGAGATTAACGCGAATGCATCGAACCCGCGCACTGATCTTCCCCCGCGTCAAACCTCGAAAACGCACCCCCGATCGGATTCAACGATATCAATTACCCTCTTCGACGTTGCGCCGCAATATCGATGCGGATGTTAGACGCGCCCGGCAGGCTCCGAGAATCTCCATTTGATCCTGATTCAAGCTCGCTTCGCGAGGCGCGCAATGAGATTCGCAATATATCTGGTCTTCGCGATACACTTTCGAGGCCAGAATTTATTTTGTCGTAAAATTTAAGCGCAAATTTAATCGCGGGAATATAAAAAAAAATAAAGAATTAATATCTATTATATAAACATCAAGATTTATATATATAGTGTGTTATATATAATATAATACTATATAATTTAGGATTTATTATAATTCTCAAGATTTTAAACAAACTTTAAACCATTTTGATATTTCGCTTATTTTTTATCAGATATTTAGCAACGCGTCAAAGTTCAATTCAATAAGTAAACGGCGAAGTCAATATCGATGACGTCGCCTGGTTTCCCGGATGTAATTTCGCTCTCGTCTTCATCCTTCACGATCTTGTTACTCCTCGCGCGTTACATCCTCTTCCGAGATCAGACGCCACTTTTCTTTTCCGTTTCCTATCGGCCCGCCTTCGCCCGCCTATGACCAAGTCCCCGAGGATAAAAGGGATCAGAGGAAAAAGGGGGATATGGATTGACACTCGAATTCCACCGGTAAAGGATCTCCCTCTTCCGGCCGGTCATTTTTCTTACCCTCGTCACACCCCTCGCGAGCCCCACCCCACACCCTCGGCCCGGCTCGAATCCCGCTCGCGGTTTAACAAACTAGATTCATCAAATTCGACACCGATCGTCCATCCGCCGGTCGGTCGATTTCTCGTTCTGGATTTCGCGTCCGTCAGGTCCCATATAGCGCGATAGGAATAGCGTAACTTGTCAGCGCAGCGAAATTTTTTTACGTGGGAATATTTTCCGCGAGAGATCCTAATTCATTTGCAATTTGTATTTCAAACGATGCATTATTTATTAATTTTGAGAAAGAAAGAATCTAAGAAAGAGAAAATTTTGACTATATATATATACATATAAATTAAAAACGCAAGGATATAATATTAATTAAATTTATAATTATACCATATTTATTTTATTTAATTATATTATATAAATATATGTATACGTTAAGGTATAGGTATATTAAAATATGTCGTATCTATCGTATCTAGAAGCATTCACGCGTTGCTTTTTAACGTGCTGCACGAAAGGAAATTAATTTAATTAAGATCAAATTATCATTAACTCACGTCGCTCTTGTATCTGGATTAAGAACGGGACGATGGGAAAACAAGGACATTCGTGTGGCCCACTTCGAGCGGGTAATTCCCCGTCTACGATGTTATATTGACACGGGGAATATCGGCGCTAAATCATCTGTCACCCCCGAGTTCGCCCCCGTAACATCACCCGGGAAACTCCGAAGTCTCCGGCTGTCTATCTGCCGTCACTCACGAAAGCCCTCGCGCCGTGTTACGAGGCATCGTCCCCTCGCGTGCCCTTCCTCCCTTAAAACAGGGTGTTTACACGTAATCGCATTTCGAGGGTTCAATTTATTAAAAAGACGCCGTCCGACTTGACGAGCCATTTTAACATCGACTTTTCACGGATGGCGTTTGTTAAAACCGATTTCACGGAAATCCTAAACAATCCGTTACTTTAAAGCGCGATGACTTTATCTCTCACCGGCGCCGTCTCGACCAAATTAGTTTATCACGAAGTTTACGTTATTTCGCTCTTCTCTCTCCTCCTCTCTCTCTCTCAGTCTCTTTCTCTCTTTCTCTATAAGAGCGCCCGATGTAATTCAATTTGTCCGAAACGATTAGCAGGTAATCTGGACTTATCGAGTAATCTAAAGCGCATGAGTTCGCAAGTTCTAGAATTTATCGAGTTATCGGATATATTGTTGGGCTACTCGAATTTATCGGGCGATCAAACGCGAAGCGCCGCGCCGTCGCATCCCTACAAAATTTAGGATTTGATATTTTAGTACACATTATATTATTTACATAATATAACTATCCTTACGTAATAATAATTCGTTTTCGCATAAATCTGGTGATTACATTATTAGTAAGTTTCGCATTAAAATAAAATCGACGTCGTCTAAAGTTCGATTATTTCAATCTCTTTCAGTCACGCTTTCAGTTTATCGGCTAAAATATAGAGAAAATTCAATGTTTACTTTAATTACGTTAAGATACATACGAATATTTTCGCTAATCTTCGGCATTGTTACTACTATATGTATATATAATTTTACAGTTCTATTAAATAATTAAATTATAGCTACATTTTAGAGATATGATAAAGTGCTTCGAGCAGAGATTCAGCAGCGTGCTAACGATCAAATTTACGCAAGGAAGAGTCTTCGCTCTCGCGACGAAAAAAAAAGAGATCGCGGGCTGAGAGGGTTGACCTAATAAGAGATTATTGCGCCTCCGACAGTGGAAGGGAAGGGCCGAGGCATCGCGACGGGAAAAAATGGAAAGAGCAACAACAAAGTAGACATCGGAGGGCCAAAGTTGCCAGTCGATGCGGCACGTTGCAGGATCGTCCGCGAAAGAATTTCGCCCCCGTCGTTTCCCACTATCTCCCCCTTCAGCCTCCGGAGCACCCTCCTCGTGCGGATGTGTGGAAGCTTTCTACGGCATCGGTGGGCACCACCACCATCATCGTCGTCGCCGCCACCGCCGCCGACGCCGCCACCTTCTACTCTTCTTCGTTTTCTTCCTCCCTCCCCCGTCCTCGCCACCCTCCTCTGTGTCCCCTTCCGTTCCTCGCAGGAGGAACATGGCTCCCAGGCAGGAGATCCGTCCGTCCACACCCTCGCTCTCGCAGCAACCCCGCGCGATCCCCCCCTCTTTCCCCCCGGACACTTCCCTTCCCCTTCCCCGCTTCTTTCCCCCCCCCCCCCGGGCCCCCTCCCCCCCCCCCCCCCCCCGATGCATTTTAAATCAAAGCCTCGGAGGTAACGCAATCACCAGGCATCACGACGCTTCCACAATTTTCTACTTTAAGCTACTTTATGTATTAGTACCCCCGCCGTGTCTCTCCCCCGTCCCTCTCGTTTCTCGTCGACGGCGCGCAGTACCCTCTCTCCCGTCACCCCCGCGTTATGTCAGTGCCCGTCACACCGGCGGCTTCGCAGCGTTGCTCTTCTGTCTCGGATCCCTCTCTCGCGCCCTCTCTTTGGCCCCCGCCTTCCCTCCGCTCCGTCCTTCCTCCAACCAGGCTACCATCACCACCCCCTAGCACGGGACTGGTAACAAGGTTATTTTATTAAACGAACCTCCGCACCGCCCGCTCGCCAACGTCGCCGGAATTCGAGACGCGCCAGCAGCTCGTCTAACCGCGAGCGAGGAACACCGTAGTCCTTGCAAAGGGAACGGAAGTGGGGAGAGCAAGTGCTCTCCTTCGCGCGGTGTGAAGCAACGAGGATACTAAATTAGATTGTAGGAAAAATAGGACGTGGAGGGAAAGAGCGATTCATTAATTTGAATCACTCATCTTTGTTCCCGCAGGAGACGTTGAGCGAGAGAAGCGGAAAAAATGGACGAAGTCGAATGACGAAACTCGATTCGTTAATTCAGTCGCCCGTTTTAAAAAGTGCTTTTTACAAACCTGTCGTAGATGGCTTTCAACCGTGCATATAAATTTCATTTGGGAAATATTTCTTCTTATGACTACCGCCGATAAGAATAGAAACCGATCAGAGCGTTAATTAATTTTTGCCGAGGCCCTAAATTTACTCGCGCGACACCGCGACACCGCGACGAGGGGAAAAAAAAGTCGACTTCCAAATTCGTCAAAGGGCCCGTCGTGAAAATTTAACGATAGGAGCGGTGCTCTCTGTAAACTCGCGAGAATGAAATCTATTTTTCACGTAAACGAATAACGCGTTTACGTCTCTCCCGCGTATGCTCTCTCTCTCTCTCTCTCTCTCTCTCTTTTACGACACGCGTCATTCCCTTCCCCCCCGCGAAAGTTTGCCGCGTCCGTTGCGGTTCCGGCCGCGTGAAACGACGGGAATTCGCTTAATGCGCTTCGCGCGGAAATGTCCTCGCAGCGCGCTTTATAGCCGCGCGAAAGAAAGCTGCTAGTGAATAATGAGAAGAAAGAAATATCCTAGGATAAAAGATTCATTTTTGACGGCATTCTCTTGCCCTCTTCCTTTCTCCACGTCAAACGGGCTGGACGTCCCGGGGTGGTTACTTATACCGGAGGGGGATGCACGTGTGTTCGCGGCGCGCAATTCGCAAACGTGGCGCGGTGTAATCCAGTCACCACGTAACGCGATTACTCTCCTAACTCAGCCTGTCGTTTTGTGTCTCTCTCTCTCTCTCTCTCTCTCTCTCTCTCTCTCTCTCTCTCTCACACTCGCTTTTTCAGAGTTCTCCCTCTTTCTCTTCTTCCCATCGCTCGCAGTCTCACCTCCTGTCGCAACTCTCGGCCATCCCTAGAGGCCGAGTAACGCGGAACCAGCGGGACGGGAAGCTATAGTAGCGGGTATGCGGGTAGTTACGTGGCATTAATAACGGGTTGGAGGAAATCTTCGGCGCGCGGGTGTCGTTATTTTTCCCCCCCTGGATAATGGAAACGTCTATTATCGCCTCGCCCGCCGTTCGTAACGCGCGACGGAGGCTTGATTTAAGATTAATTTTGACATTAACGTTGCAAAAACCCCACCGACATTTGCAGCATTTATACACCTATGTATATTTTGAGAGGGATATTTCTGGATGCTCACGATTAATTTTAATCGGTTACAAAATAGATATCTGTTACACAGATCGTTTCGGTATAAACGCACGTACACACGTTGTTTTATTTCATTATTTCATTATACTTTTGAAAAAAAGATCGCTCTCCGCCGTCCATAACGGGAAAATTTATCGTAATTCTCCATTAGCGTTGAATCTATTTTTAAGCAGCCGTTCTCGTAATTTTTAAGACAACTGGAGTAATTAATCACTCTTTAAAGCTGTACTTAAAATTACGCTGCGTAGGGCGTGAAATAAAAATAAAATGAATTAAAAAGAAACTATATAAGGAGAAACGCGCAGTCAAATATTTTTTATATATATTTTTTAACTCGAAAGGAAGGCGGTTATAAAGATGCAGATAATATCGAGATTAATATATTTATTATAATTACTGGTCCCTGGCGGCGATTTAATAATTTTCGTAAATTATCGAGTCATTCGAGTCGAGAAGAATCGAAACGGGCTACCAAGAAAAAAAGATATTACATAACGAATGATATCAGAATCGGCGCAGACGTGGAAAAGGGGAAGACGATGCAAAGGGGGGAGATCAAGCTGGAAAGGATACTTTGTACGGGCAATGTAAACCGAAATTACGTTACTCCTGTGCGTCGCCCGCATAAAGTGAATCGTATAGTAGTCCCGTCAGACGGTGGCTATACGAGGATTTGTGAGCTATTAATCGATAATTCTAATTCCCCTCGATGTTCTAACGCAACATCGCGGAAGAAAAATTTTATTAACATCTCAAAAAATCCATCCCTCCTCTACTTCTTCCCTTCACTTTTATACAAACTCACGGAAATTGAAAGAAACAATTACACCAATATTACTTTTATCTTATAAAGGATAATGATCAGGCCAGAGTCTAATCGTCTGCACGATTCTAAATCCGTGCCCGGTCGCATTTCAAATCGCGTTAAAAAAAGTGGATGTTATTGTCAAGGGCGGCGGTGGTCGCGAAGGACGAGTGAGCGTGCGAACGCGCAGAGAACGAGAAGCCGCGCGCGGCTAACACGCGCTCTGCCAAGGATCGCCATGGACTTGTGAGGGGCAAAGAGGAGGCTGGGGTAAACGCGATTTACACCATGACGACTATCGCCTCTCTTCTCGCGCAAAGTGCCTACGTGCAGCCGCGAAAGGGCGCGAGGTGGAGAGAAGGAGCGAGAGAGAGAGAAAGAGAAGGAGAGGGAGGGAGGGAGGGAGAGTTGTTACGACACACCGGCGGGTGACAGGACTGACAGGAGATTCTGCTCCGCGGGAGGACGGGGCCGGGGGTGGCGGGGAGGACGGGAGGGCGAGAGGGATGAAAGTAGGGATGTTTGTCGTACGCGTTATTTGGCCAATAAAACCACGTGGCGGCGCACGGAGGGCATCGGGCGTCGCGCCGCCGTTCGCGGAATAGACGATCGTCGGGGAGAGGCGCGCCGGCCGCCGCCGAAGCGACGACGGCGGAGGGTGCGAAGGGCGCGCGCGGAAGAAAGAGATGGGTAGCGGTGCACACGACGGTGCGTAGACCACGCCTCGCCGCGTGCTCGGCGCACGCGTGGTTCCGCCTATTCGCCGTGCACGCTTCCCGTCGCGGCCCGCGACGGAACGGCGACCGTCCGCGACTCCACCGCGGCCGCGACACGTCGTCGTCACGCGACGCACTATCGGCTTGGAGGTCCTGTCGCCTTGCGGCTCGCGTGTCGGTATTCGGAGCAGGCAAAGAGAGAAAGAGAGGAGAGAGAGAGAGAAAGGGAAAGAAAAGAAGTCCCCGTCCTGTCATTCGCTGTCGCAGTGCTCCCCGCGTGCTCATCCACGAGAAACGACGAGATCAAGCACCACGTGAAGCTGACTGCTACTCGACTCGACTGATGCATCGGAATTTCACCCTGGATTCCGCCTTGGTCGCGTGGATACCCATTGAGCTGTCGCTCCGAAGAGGATTCCGTGAAGATCCAGTCACGGTTTGTCTCAAACACACATAGGAATTCGTTCACTTGTTCTCCTCTCACGCGGAAGTGTTACTCGAAGAGAGAGAGAAAAACGTTCCTTCGGTTTTTCCCTACAAGTGTTTATCAACGTCGCGCCTTCATCAGGATTCCTACGATACGCTTCGTCCTGATTTAACATATACTGACGATAAGTTTTTTCGCCATCCGTCAATGTCGCTCGAAAGAACATCGTGATCTTCGTTAAGTTCCTATCGCGTGTGACTGTCAAATATACACATGACAGAAGCGAAACTCTCGGCTGTTACTCTTGGCAGAAGTCCGACGTATTCGTACGCGACAGGTCGCCTCGCTTCATCGTTCAGAACTCGCGAGAATTCACCGAGATCGACGATCTCGTGATCATTTTATCAATAAATATTAGATAAAAAGAAATACGCCTAATTCGTCTTTGCACAGGGCACGTCAAGTGTTTCTTTTCGTTACTCCAAATTGTTGGTTACGACAAGCGCAGAACAGTGATCTAACGCCGCAATACACCCGGAAGGTATCGCCAACGCCAACGTGATCCCGCAGGTTGAACCCCCGAACGAGATTTGCGGAAGCACACGCATGCGGAGTTAAGGACAAAGTCGAAACAGTACGACACGAGGTCGGGAAAGTGTGGCGGGAAGTGGCGGGATCGGCGTATCGATCGGAGATCAGACGGGCACTCTCCAGAGCGTCCGTCGACCGGCTGATATTCGCGGGGAGAGGGGATCCGCGGCGGTGCGGAAGAGATCGGGAAGGTGTTGTTCAGCCACGAGTCCAGGATTCTCACCCCCGGAGGCAGTGCCATCTCGCCCGGGGGCGCGGGGCCACCCGCGAGCCCATCGCCGGGACACTATCATCCACCTGCGCACAGTCCGCCCCTGGTCAAGGTAAGCCCTTTGTTTTCATCGGGGATATCGAAAAACAAACATCGGTTCGTGAATGAAACTGGCCCAAAGTGCGCTTGAACGAGTACGAAGTCGACCGAAGAAACTGTTGCATTAATTTATATCATTACTAACGCAATAATATATATTTTTATTCGATAATTATAATTAAATTGGTCAGTAACATGAATTTTTTCATCGGTAAATGATGCCAATTGCGACATTTTCGAAAGTAATGGTTAATTATAATTATTTTTCCGCCCGATTGTTGAGTTTATATAGCTATGATTTTTTAACGAAAAGATGTGTTTTGCAATCCTAAATATATATACGATCTATATATATATATATATATATATATGCAATTTATAATTATGCGACGAAGTAATAGCTTGTCGGCGCACTGTTAAATGCTGTACGTATTCTGACGCTTTCATTACCATGTATACCTATTAAATCACTCTCGACCGGTCTCGGGAATACTTGAAATAAATAAATGAAACACGAGCGCTATTTATTAAATTATTCATTTTGTCAGCGTGACAGATAACGAAGAGATTGAAACAATTGAATAATAGTGGCATGATTACAAGCAAGAGCACTGTTTTATCTGTAACTAACGCATTTCGGACGTCCGGCTTTTGAAGTAATATACGTACTTAAATCCCGTCCGCGCATTTTCACATTGACAAAGTTTTTGCGATAAGCAATGTTGTTCAACGTGTTTTTACGACACGGGGAGACGCGTTGAAAAATGTAATTCAAATTCTAAGAGGCAAATCTTGTTTTAGGAAAAAAGAACGAGAACGTTTATCCGGATAACAACTAATTATTTCACATAAATCGTTGAGTTAAATTAAATGGCTTTGTTATTAAGCGCGCCTTGTTCATTTTGGCTTAACAACACGGATGCGCGCGCGGTTACATTTTACATGTAACGCCTAACGATAATCGCGCTGAGAAATTATTAATGCGTCAGAGGTTTAAATTCGATCGCTGTTTCAAAGTCGATCGGAATTATTCTGTCACATTTAAGTGGCCTGCTAGGGTAGAGTGGACGAACGTAATGAATGCTATAAAACACATTTATGTCGTCACGTTAAATAATGAAGACAAATGTGATATCGATAGATTTCCTTTGTGCTTTTCGCTTCGCTCAAGATTGCTTCTCCCTCGCAAATCTGATATTTTTTATTACATTTGTGAGGCTCATATTATTCATTCTTTTTTATATATTTTTACTTTTATGTATAAATTTCGTTTTTTTAAACGGTTCTTTGTAAAAAGATTTATTGTTATTATTTTATATCATCTTTTCAAAAATCCTTTGTGTAAAAAGATTTATTATTGTTATTATTTCATATCGTGTACGATCGCGCGGGACTCGCGTCGCATTCGACTGTCACATGAGTCAGAAAAAATTATGTTAAAAATAACTATCGACGATCATCGAATTAATTTAAAATTAACTATTAAGTACCGTATGCGAACTAGTACGTGACGTAATAAAGCTTTGAGTAGAAAATTGGTGCGATTTGTTCCCCGTTCTATTTTCCATAAATAGTTCGCGATGCGATCAGCGTATTTAATGTATTAGGATATCTGAAGAACGGAAAGTACCGGGATATTCGACCTTAAACATGATAAGAAAAATAGGAAGAGAATAGTATAGTAATAACTATGTTTCTCATTCTATGAATGGAGGAAAAAATTATCTCGATATTCTGTTCTTCTCTTCATAACTTCAGAAATTATAATATCTCGAAGTGAAGTAGGAAGTTATTAAAAAATATACGATAGAATGCCTTAAATATTGTATTGTACACTGAAATTAAACAGATTACTTTGCCATTTAAGTTTATTTTTACAAACGTGGCGACAAATAGAAGTTGGCAACATTCAGTGTATTGTCGTGCATTATTTTTAACGTTAAGAAGAGACGATGTCGATCTCAAACGACAGCTATAATTGCCTACCAATGTACCAATACAAATCCGTCTCCGTAGTCTACATTGTTAACTGTAAGACCCCACGGCATCTGTGGAGAGTTACGCGCTTAAATTGTCACGGCGGAAACTTGTCAGCGATCACATTATAATCCAGGGATATATGTGGCAATTACGGCATTAGACCCGAATAGCCGATAATTCCGTTTTAGGTTTGAACTAGACTTTGCCGTAATAGGATTAGAATTTGCGGCACGTTCAGGTGACCGTCTATTCTAGACGCGCACCCTCCAACCTACCCTGCGAGCTATCAGCTGCATTTAATCCCGTGAATACTAATTTGAAGTCGATTTCTTTCTCCAACATGAGATAATAGTTTCATTGAATCAAGATCGAATCACCAACAATATATTTCTCTTTCGATCAATCACTATTAAATGAAAGACCTTAATGGCAAAATAATGTGAGTCAGTTTTCGTAAAACTTGTACAATTGTTCTGTACTTACGACTTTATTCTCTTTCTTGTTTTGATAAACGTCTAAATGTCAGAATGAAAAAAAACTGGGTTATATCACATATGCTTTTGTAACTCTTTAAATCCGCCTAAATAAATGAAATATCAACTTACGTTCGTCGTTACCCAACCGAGCGTTCGCTCCTTCTTCGTTTTATCGGCGACTTTCAGCCCCATCATCCGACATGTCCCGGATTTTCTCTCTCCCTCCCTCTCGGCGTTACTTCCGGAATCAAGTGCGATCTCGGAATTTGACGCGACAAGCGCAATACGATATCGTCCTCGGAAAAGCGACTGCTCTTTATGGTCACGTAATAACTGCGTGGGACTGCCGCCGAGCGGGGAAGCGGGAATGGCGGGGAACGGTTTCGCGAACCGTAAGGGAGGCAAAGGGAGGAACGGAGGTGGAGAAAGCGAGGAAGCAAGAGAGAAAAAGAGAAAGAAAGAGAGAGAGAGAGAGAGAGAGAGAGAAGCAGTGGGATAGACGAAGAAAAAGAGGCCGACGATGATGATGGGTGTAAGGGCGGCTGTCCGAGCTCGTTTTCGTCAGCCGCCGCCGTGAATCCCTCTGGGGACTCCGCGCGGCAGCTGTCTACGGACTGCCGTTGGAGAAGCCCCGGTCGAAACTTAACGTGGAACGATTCCTGGTCCGTGCCCTGTTCCGTTGAACCGCGCGTTTATGATATCATTTCTGAATTAATAAAAAAAATAAAAAGAAAAAGAATGACAGGGAGAAAAGACGACGCATCTGATGTTAGAATGAATCTGGTCCGTAATCTACGAGGTATATTTTAGGTATACGCGCTTTCATATTTAAAGCTGATCTTACGAGATCCGGATTTGATCCGTTTTAGCACTAAATGTCCCGTGATTACATCTAAAAAAAAATGAGACGTGCATGCTATTATTACGAATTATGCATGGGCTCGCGGAGCATTATCAACGAGACGGAACGTTATCTATACGCTGCTTCCGACATTTCTATTCGCGATAAGCGGCCTTAATGCGCGATACGGAATTGTTATGCCTAGAACGTGAGAAGGGAGAAGGGTGAAGGGCCGTGCGGCCCTGCTCGAGGACGCTCGCACACGCGCCCGACACTTTCGCTCCGATTAAGCTTAATTCATTCCGCCGACGTGGAGCGAGGCAGAGGAGAAGACGTTAACGCTAAACTGCTCCAAGAGCGCTCGCCGGCTTGCGCTGTCTGCCAGTCCAATCCTGCCAAGTTAACCTCATTAATAAATTAATTAGATATTATTGTGTTGGAAGCCACGGGGCGGCAGCTGCGGGTACGCTTTCCTCGTCCTCCGTGATCTCCCTCTCTTTCTTTCTTCTGCCGTCTTCTTGCTCTCGAATACGGCAACGGGGGAAGGGAGAGTGAGGGGGGTCAGGACCCGTGACGTCACTCTTACGATGACAAAATGCGTGTTATAACCGCTCGCTCGCTACCCGCACATTTTTTTTTCCCGACGCGGAGTCTTCGAGCGACCGATCGATGATCATCCACGGTGTCTTTCCTCCAGTTTTCACAGTTTTTGATAGACACCGTGATAAAATTTTCATTTTCGATTCTCCAACGAGAGATTTCCACAGATTCTAATTTTAAAATAAAAGTTTTATCGGAAACTTTATTTCCACGATGCACTTAGATTAAAGATCGAGAAGGCGCGCTAAGCTCTTAGAAAAAGATTCGTACGAAAACGAAACTTTACCTCCGGCTGTAATTAAAGAAATGTAAAGAGCAGGTTGGTTCTAGGAAACACCTTGCGTGTCTAATTCCGCGAAAATATTTTCTCGACGCGGCCTTTCACCCGGAGAGGAGAAGAGACGTTGGATTAGAAAACGGAATTCTATTCCGAGTTACGTAAAGCGTGAAATATAATTTTAAGATCGTGAGAAGCGCGCGCGCGCGGAAGAGAGAGAGAGAAGACCCTTTTCGTAATTTCTAGCGCGCTACCCAAGGAGCCCGGGCGGTCGGCGGCGCTCATTACGGGATAGCACGGCTCGTACTGGTAATGACAAAAAGCACACGCGGCATTATCATTGCGGAGTGTATGGCATTAAGCTGTAGGGGGCCAGGATTAGGATGTCGGCCATTACCGCGCGTCACTGACCGTTTATTCTACGCCGTGCGGTGACTTCCTCTAGACGCGCATATGTATGCCTGGCGATAAACGGAGGATGAGGACGCTCGCGAGGCCGCCGCGCCGCCCGCCGGATCGTGCATTCTCTACATGCGTGATTCACCTTTCGATATCAATGTCAATTCAGCGTGATCGCTCGCCTTTATTTTAGCGGCCGATCTCTCTTGCGCCGGGGCGACGAAAACGATTCTGTCTGTCTTGAGAATGTAGAAACTTCACCTTCTTGGCGAAAAAATATTCCATCGGTTTTCTCGTTTCGATATACGTTACGCGCATCTCGATGCAGACTTTTATTTTTTATCGAATTAAGAATTTGTTAATAGTTAATATATTAATGTAGTGTTAATCGATCGTAAAAATTGTCTATATTTTCTGTTTATTTTTTATCTTTCGTATCA